TTTTAATGAGTCAATTTTTAATCACTGTCACAATCATGGACTAACCTGTCAGCCAGGTAGCCAATGGCAATACTTCCAACCAGGAACCCCACGTTCAGAGTGGCCTGAATCATGTCCACCAACCATGCATTCGAGCACACCAGGTCAAACTGGGAAAACACAAAGTGAAAAATGTCCTGAATCTGTCAAAACAAATTGTATGGCATGCTGCCAATGTTTTTGTTCATTTTATGAACAACACAAAATTACCATATTAGTCATTAATAAATCTTTGCTTGGGATACGGACATATTTAGGTTTTACCAAAGTACTCAGATTCTCTGAGCAACACAGTTCTCTTTTTATTTATGTATTTATTTATGTGTATATATACACACACACACACGTGTACAAAAAAAATCCTGTCTCGCCCTTGCGGGCGGTCTATCCTTCAAGCTCGGGTCCTCTACCAGAGGCCTGGGGGCTTGAGAGTCTTGCGCAGTATCTTAGCTGTTCTTAGCTGTATCTTAGCTCTTAGCTGGACAGAGATCTCCGATGTCGTTTCTGGGATCTGCTGGAGCCACTGGTAGGATTTCTGGATATCAGCCACCTCCGCTATCTGCCGGTGGTACATACCGTGCAGGGGCCTGTCCTTCCATGATGGTTCCTCCTCTTCCTCGTCATTCTAGGGTTTCTGTTGCCCGAGGTATTCACTGAGCACGCTGTCAGTTGGGGTCATATTCCTGATGTATTCCTGGATGTTTTCTGCATCATCCTGGTCTGGGGTACTGACACTCATTAGTCCCCGGCCTCCTTCCTTCCGCTTAGTGTACAGCCTCAGGGTGCATGACTTGGGGTGAAACCCTCCATGCATGGTCAGGGGTTTCCTGATGTTGATGTCAGTGGCTTCTATCTCCTCCTTTGGCCCACTTATTATCCCAGCAGGGTACCTGATCATGGTGTAACTTGTAACAATTTCTGAATGATATATAGTTATTATAATACAAAAGTATAGCATGCAGAATCTTTTTGAGAAATTCTTTCTCAAAAATAAAGAAAATGCAATTGTCATTCAACTTTCATGTTGGATTGAGCAAATATGTCAAGCTGCCCCACAAAAGCAACAATAGCAGTAGACTTAATCTAAATTTTACCAATTATAAATCAATAAAATAACTAAATAAACTAAATAAATATATTTAAATATAGACAAATATAAATATCTTTATCAGCGTGGGACTTTACAGGCTGGCTTGAATTTTTCTTGCATATTTTAATTAGCCAACACAGACATTTTTTGCATTTGCCCCAAATTACAGTTCCAGGCTTTTACCTTTAATATTATTTGAGATATTTGTGTTCAGACACTGCCTCAGATTTCAATGGTTCAAAAGAAGAAAAAAATTACTTTAAGTTGAGACTGAATGACCCCTTTTTTAAAAAAATAAATCATTATTTCTGTTTTCTACATTCCAAGCTGCATCATGTTGTTGAATTCACAGATTTTTTTTCCTCAAAAAATGTTTAGTCTATTTTTTGTTTTTTGGTCTGTGTGTGTTGGCTGTGACTTCTTGTTCCCCACCTCAGTAACAAAAGACTGTCTTCCCTCGTAGTCGTACTCCCAGCCATGTTTGCAGCTGATTGTGGGAGTTCTGCTGAGGTCCTTCAGCTCCTGATTGTCACAGCTGAGCTCAGTGGCATTCCAGTCCACCTCGTACTGCTCACAGCTGCTCTGCTGACCAGAGCTGTTGTCCAGAGGTACTGTGAGCCTGCGACTCTCTGCCAGGTTCCAACCGCATGCCTCTCTCCTCTCCACCACTGCAGGGTCTCGACACCAGTGATCAGGGGTGAAACCCTGGAAGACTATCCCGACATACACACCTGCCCATGGCATGGACACCATACACAGCAGGATGAAGATACGCTTCTGGCAGCGGCCAAACTTCCCGGCTTCTTCTAAGATATCATCAAAAGTGGTCATGATTGTAGAAGGGTTTCTTTACTTTAACCAGCTGCAAAAAACACTCAGCCGGAGTCTAATTTGTATGCTGAGCTTCCCTCTGCAGAGTGCCCATTGAAATGCACATGCACTGGGTTTTTAAACAGCACAAGAAGGAGCAAAGGTCCATAGAAATGCGTTGGTACTGCACAGCCTGTGCAGTAGAGCATTAAAAGACGTCTGCTATCCAATTTACTGATGTCAGAGCCCAGCAGAACGTCTGCATGGACACATTGGCCTGGATGGTGACGCAGTGATGATGTTTAATCAGTTAACATTTAAGAGGTACTTCATTGGAATCTGTTAGACATTAAGAACGGAGAAAGATAAGATCAGCTGAAAGAAAGTGTTGAGTTTCTTGAGTCTTTCCAGACAAGTCTAAAGAACTTTGAGGCAGGTTAAGTGTCAGTCCAAGTTAAGCCTGAATCTTGACTTAACAGGATCAAGATTTAATCTTCAAGACAAGCTCATGTGTTGCTGGAAATCCTTTTGAAGACAGCTCAAACTAAGACTCAAGTCTTAACTAGTGTGAAATCTTTTTAAGCAACTTGAAGCCAGAGACAGGATCAAGTTATTGAAAACAAGAGCAAAGGATTTCCCCCCCCCCCAAATTCTCCTACCTCATTGTACCTGAAATATTTTAATATTTGCATAGGTTTTAGTCTCAGCTTCTTTGAGACTAATTTTAAAGACCTAAGACCTATTTTTGGGTAAAACCTCATTTTACCCAAGAATAGATGTTAGGAAGTCTCGTGTCATTCAAGACAAATTCAAAGTTGTATGTCATTTCATTAAACGTTCAAGCCACATTCTTCTTTCACACGGTAAGTCAGTTCAGACAAGATGAGATGACAAAAATAAGTTTTGAGCACAAGCCAGATGTCAGGACGTCTTCGGGTCAAATATCAAGTTCGTCCAAATAAGAACTTAATTGTAATGTTGCCAAAGTTGACTTTTAAATAATTTCTGTCTTTTAGAAATTTTGTCAGACATATAAAATAAGATTACACAACAAAAGTAATAAACAGCAGATCTCTTATTTATTCAAATAATGCAATATTTTACATATTTTTTATTTTAAAATAGGAAAACAGGCAAAGAGCTGAAAACATCAAACATAACCTTACATCAACTAAAACATAATGATGATATCCCATCGTACCAAATCATTGAAGAAAGTTTCTTGTGCTTTTTTTAGTCTCTTTTTTCAGTTGGTTTGTCTGCTGCTTGATGTCAGTCTCACATACTAAATTTGTTTCATCATACCCAAATGTTTCCACGACTGTGGACAAAAACAAACAAACAAAAAAAGCACAAGAATGTCCAGTAATAATTTCAAGAAAGAGATGGTTCAGTACAGTACCATGCAGATGAGCCACGGGAACTTTGGTGCAAAGCAGAAACAAATTTAATGCAACAATGAACAAATAACTTCACAAACTTTACCTCCTGCTACTCTGAAATGAGGAGTGCTACAATGTTGAGACTCAGGAGAGATGATTACAAAGTGCCAAACACAGATAGACACTTTCAATTCAACTCTCAGACTAACAGGGTCAGGATTCTGGTAAAAAACTTTAAGAAGAACAGCTCAAGTTCATATAGCAAAACCACACGCTGAATGAACGAACACGTAAAAGGAACGTTTATAAAAAGTCTTCGATACAATCATATTTTATGATAAATACTGATCATAAATATTTCACCTGTTACCAATGTCATTGTCATGTTTTCTGGAAGCCTGACCATGTGCCGTGTACTCGCATTCTTTAAGCTGTTAAAGGTAGATACACTTGCACTGTTCAGAATTTCAGATCAGTAGCACAATAATATGATTATATGATAAGAGAGTTTATTAAGAGAGTTTTAAAATGTCAAAAGCTGCTTTGGAAATGTTCAGTTTGTAATCAGAGAGAAACAGAAAAAGTAAAAGGAGGAGTGCAATTTGTTTCTACTCTTTGCTATCACAACACTCCTCGAACCCCTTTCTGTGAAACACTGAAGTTTACAGTGCAAATGACAATTTTATTAAATGCTGTTTCTCATTATTTTATCAGTATTTTTTGGGCACGTGGCATCATACAAAACGCGCTTAACAATTATGTGTACAAAGCTTTAGAAATACCCTGAATGGCAAATCTTTGTTATTGAGGTTTTAGCAATAAACTCACATTTGAATACTGAGAAAACACAAATATTAATCTACACCAGCAATGCAACGGCAACTAATGTGATGAACATACGATCAAGGGCACGTTTTTTTGTGGTAGTAAATGTCTGGCTATGGATCAACAAATGCACTGCAAAGTGATTTAATTAAGCTCAGGATTGTTCACCTCCTTTCCCAAGTTGGAGAAAATGAGAAGTTATTACTGATGTACAGAGATAAAGATTTATGCTACCAAGGGCTGCAGCCCACCACTTCCTGGTTATACAAGCAGCGACACGGTTTTCAGATATCTTTTTTGTTCCAGTTACAAGGCTGAAACTCAAAACTTATTATTGCCAGTGAAAGCAAACAGTTGGTTATAGTAGAGGAGTCAAAACCAAAGAATATTACAGATTATTTTTTATTAAAAAATCGTTTTAGCTTTAAATGTGCCTCCCTGTTAGCAGTAATTAGGCTAAATCTTTAGACTTGATATATTCAGGGAGTTTGCAAAGTTTTAAACTGACATTTCAGTCAATTTGACCAACCAACCAAATCTGATTAATTAGTGGAAACCTAGAAAATAGACTTTCAGTTTTGTTTTTTTAAACGATTTTCAAAAAGTCCACCTTCCTTTATGAGGGTGTGCTACTTTGAGATTAATTGAGATTAACAGCAGCTATTTTATTGGTTTTCAGCTGCTCCGCACATCAGAAAGAAGAGTGAAGTGAAAACAGAATAATCCAACCTAATTGTTTTTTGTGATCATCATGTGTCTATAAAAATCACTGTATTTGAGGTGTGTTTGTTTTTTTAAAATCACCCGGTCTGAGCTCTAACTGTTGTAGAAAAATCAATCTCAATCACGCTGTGTTTACACTGTGCAAGCTTACAGATTTAATTACTGTCATGTGGAAATATGGCATAAAGTAGGTTTCCATTATTACTGACATCCTCTGTGAAAAAGCAAAACCTATATTGCTCAACATCCTGCATTTTAGTTTCACTACCATCTTTTGCATCATGCATTTGGCTGAACTGGGCAGATTTCAGCACTACAAAAAGTTGGCTTCACTTTTCACGCAGCAATCGGATCTGAGTACAACAACCGAGCCTGTAAAGTACAAGAGCACACGAGCAAGAAAAAGAAAAAAAAAAAAAAATCGATTTCCCTACATTAGTGCCAAGGGTGGCAGTAGAAATATGGCTTTAACAGGAGGGGAGGGGACCAAATCAGTTTCACTTTCAACTTTCTTCAACCATCCATTCATACTTAAGGCCATCTCCATTTTCACACAGAACAGAGAAACAAACGTAATCAGCTCGGACGAGCCGTTAAATAATCACCAAAACAAACGTGTGAACAATTCACTGGTGAAGACTATAAACGAAACGTCCATATTATAGAACATTATCATCTATTTACAACGTCTCTGATCAAATCAAGACAAACAAAGAAATTCAATCCGTTGCTGGACATGATTCATAGATGAAAATGCAAAGTAAATTCATCAGTATGAAGGCATCGTGCTTTCTTTTTGAGGGCAAAGAAGGGGAAAATGGGTCTGCTATAAAAGCAACTGTAAACAGCACGAAAAGACAAACTGGTGTCTTCATTCCCTTTTTTAGAAAGAAGCTGGCACCTTCACTGCCTAAGCTATGGGAATAAATAATCATGACAGTTTTTCATAAAGTACCTGTGGGCCAATGGACAGCAAAAAAACAACTCCAAACGGAAAAAAGTCTTCCTTATTAAATACCTTCACCCCGTCCACAAGCAGACACGCAACCAGTGTTAGTACCATTAATCAAGGTAGGTAAACAGCTTCAGTTCAAAACACCAGAAGAAAATAGAAGATACATATATAACTTAATTTTCATTCACATCTTATCATGCCTCATTTCAGTGATGATATCAGATTTTCCCTTCTTGTAATGATAGTGTTGTGGTATCATTGTTTACTGTTTGGTGCATATGGTTATGGTGACATGTCTAGTTGACACATCAAGCTGGAAATCACATTAGAAAGAAGCTTTGTGTGCTCCCAGAGTCGATTTTAAGAGCCTCAACTGGCCTGTTCGTTCTTCATCAGACAAATGTGGCAAGGCTGAAGTATCGGGATTATGAAAGACAATATGGTGGAGTTCAAAAGAACCTTAAGAACACTTTAAATGAGCTGTCAAATAAACATTATATGTGGACGGTGAACTGGACTGAGTCGGTGTAGGCTGAATGAAGGTGCAGCCCAATAAAAATATATCCCTAAAGAAAGGAAAGGTTTCTGTCTTCGGTGTGTTGTTGGCATTTCACTGTTGCTATTATGGAGACATTCACTGAGAGAGAAGAGTTCGGATTGGATGGAGAGAACCAGGAAGGACAGAGTGACATCACACCCTGAGGAGGTCCTCGTCACTGTCGTCTTCTTCCCGTTTCCTGTTCGCTGCCGTGTTGTTACCGTGGTTAAGGCCAGAAGAGCGAGGTTTGCTGCTCTTCCTTTTCCTATCTGACTCGTCCAGGAGGCCCACCAGGTCCTCGTCGCTCTCCTCCTGAAATAAAAGATTTCTGTGAGCTTTTGAGAGCAATGGGTGCAATCATTGCTACCATGAACGACTGAGATGATACCAGAGAAAAAGACAAAGAACTGACTTGCAAGAAGGCGCTGCGATGAGCCGTAGAGTGCTTAGCGAGTCCTGACGATTTTATCACACGTACCCCGGGGACACTCAGCACCTCGTCCTCGCTGTCGTCATCCTGATCGTCCAGCGAGAACGACCGCAGACCCTCTGTATTCACCGGCTTGGTCGTGATGTGACCGTTGCTTTGGTTATTCTTGCCACGGTGCAAAGACGATGAAGATGTGGGAGGAGCATCGATCTCCTCCATCAGCCATTCCATCTCCTCCTCTCCTCCTTCTTCATCTGTGCTGACCTGAGTATTTAAAAGGCACAAATAATAAGATGCATATTAAGTTTTTACTCATTTTCATGGTTGTTTAAAAAAAGCTTCACCAGAGTATCTGATTTGTAGCATGATATGGCTTTTTGAATATTCGCTAAATTATAAAAATAACCTTAGTGTTTAATCATTGGTCATCATTGGTCATGTAACATGTAATCCTTAAGTTTTCCTTTTTTATTTATTAATATGATTACTTTATCACTTTATATTATTACCTTAAGAAAAACTTAAGTCCATGTTCAGGTACAGCTAGAATATGACACGGCTACCACAGCTTCATACAGCCATTTCAAAGTGGGCGTGGTTGCACCAGTGAATACTCAGATGTCTTTGCTGAAACTGGAATAGTGTATTCTCGCACAAATTTAGTTGTAAACGCAGACTCGACTCCGCTGGTTACTAATTGGTTGTACTCTGGTTAGATTTCTATATAAAACCAAAGTTGCCACAAAAATAAAGCTGCTTTGTCATTTGGCAATTTGTAGTTAAATCCATGTCCTGCAGCTGCTTCATTTGTGCAGGCATTTGTTAATTTTTCTTCTGGCTGGACTCTGACTCTTTAAGGAGTTGATGTGAATTTCTGAGTATGTAGACAGCAACAGATTTGTGATTTTTGCTGATTTATCACCGTTTATCGTTGTCAGAGTCCAGGCATTTGCTAGCTTCCCCCCATTCAATCACAAGCTGAGCCTTGCCTTGATGCACCAACGTTGCTTTGAATGGAAAAACTGCGAGTGGTAGCGCAACTGGTCCCCCTCTTTGAAGCAACCATTTCAAAGGCAACAAGACTGACAGTTAATTGCTCCCAGTTGAAATCATTTTGGTTGTGCTGCTTTCTCCAGCCATTATTAGCCTAGGTGTGGCAGCATAACATATTCCTTCTCTAGTTACAAGTTACAGAAACCCTTTAAATAACATGAGGGATCATGTTGGAGTTGGAGTTTAGAATTTTTTTGTTTGTTTTGTTTTATTGTTCCATTTGTTATTTTGGCCTTGGCTTCACCCTGAGCAGCAGCTTTATTCCCTGTCAGTGCCAGTAACCCACTCGTGACTCTTCCTTGCGTTATGCTTTCTGATCTTTAGACTGGGGAAAATACAAAGTAACTTTGAAACTCGTTCATTCATTAGCTCAACCAACCTTGGAATATTTATAGGAGACTTGGTTTCCTCTCCTACAACAACCAGCGATCTTCTGCCTCACCAGTTCCCTGGACACAGGCAGGTGAGATTATGAAAGAGGCTTTCATACAAAATATTTTTTTAAAAATATATATGTACCAAAAATGGATACTCATGGTCTCACCTCCTCTCTCTCTTGTGCAGCAGAAGCCCCATCAGACACACAATTAGAACCACCAACAGGAGGCTCAGCACCACCCCCATTGCTTGGCTCCGCCTAGACAGGGGCGGAGTCTCTTCACCGTCATCATTTATCTGCCTGTCAACAGTCCTGAAATTCAATCCAGAGAGGAGACTTCAACATATTTATCTAGTGTTTTGTGCTCTTGGGATTAAAGTAAGATTGTGAAAAAAAGGACTCACATCAGATCACACACAGCATTTGTGTGCCACACAAACAGATACTGGCAATTGTCCGTCTCCAGCATAAACTCCGGGATGCCGACACCTGCTGACGGGTTACAGTGAAACCTTATTGTGGATGAAACCGTTTTGTTCTTCGCGCGGCCACACTCTGACTCAGAAGGCACTATCACATCCACATTTCCTCCTGATGGAAAAACAAAAACATGTTAAGATGCTGTGACCACTAAATGGAAGGACTCATGCTAAAAAGAAATGGCACTTTGTTTCTTATGCAGGTGTGGGGGTTTTTTTTGCACTGATGTCATTGCCAATCACATGCTTTGCAAAGGGTTTTGAATGATAGATCAAAATCATTCAAAACAGAAAAAATTCTGTTTACCTTTTATGTAGTACTTGGCTTTGTTGGATGAGCCAATCTTGCGGCTGTAGGTGTCATTCTGTTTCACCTGGCAGATGTTGGCACCAAGACATTTAGGCAGGGAATTATTGGTGATACCAGACAACTGGATGTGGTAGATGTAGCGGTCGCCATTGTTACGAATGTCTCCAGACGCCTGATGGTGGCTAAAAGGCAGAAAAAAACCCAGATGAAACTTTTGTGACAGAAAGAATTTTAGAAGTGTGTTTTTTGCTTGCTGATTGAAACTGAAATTTATATGAGGTGAAGTGTAATGAGTGGATGACACAGGTGAACTCTGTTACCTGAAGTAGAGCGCTCCCAGACTGAAGCTGACTCCAGTTTTAGGAACCTTTATGGTTCCATTTACCATCTGTACCTCCGTTGGTTTCACTGCACAAGCTTCCAGAGTCTCCCAGCCTATCAAGAACTCACATGAACCCTCATCAACCCTGCACAGACAAGAGAATATAGGATATTCAATTCAATATAAAATTAAGAATAAAGCATAACAGGTCTACTTTAAGATGCAGAGGACCAGTTCAAATAACAAAATAACAAAAACAAAACAAGGGCACTGAGACTTGTGGGAAAAAAGACAAAAGAAATGAAACACAAGTTAAAATTGTTTTAAAATAGACAATGTAAACACAACTTTTATGTGAATGTACACAGAGATACAGATCAGGAAAAACAACACGTGACAATTTAACAGTGAGCTCTTCGATAGGAAACATTTGTTGCATTAATTTCAGATAATGTGATGCAACTGAACAACATTTAGTCTGCTGAGAAATGTTATGTTACTCAATTAACTAAAACTAAAGTTAATGAAATAAAGCAAGTAAAAAAAGAAAAAAAGAAAAAATAGCAAAAAATTAGCTATAATCTTAAAACAAATAAACAGGATAATAAATGATTCAAAGTTTAAACATTCTGTTAATTTGATACAGTAATTTAATACCAATGTTGTATTAAATGAATTAATCAAATTTCTACTGAAGGGAAACATTAAAATCTCTAAGAGGTTTTGTTACCTGATAACTTTGGGGTGTCCCACTGTGGAGCCGCAGCTCAGCTGGATTATGGTCTTGGCTTTCTGGCGTTTAGGGCATAATTCATCTCCTGCTGAATAGTTCACAAAAATCTTCCCACCTGTAGAGAAAGGGAAATCTCTTGAGACTGTCGGGATAAAGTTCTCTAACATCAAAAACACTCCTGTGAGAGAAGAAAACAAGACCTAAAGGCAAACAAATATGTCTAATCAGTGATCCTTGCTTACATGTTTCACTCTTAGTCTACACTGTTTTCAGTTTATTTTTTATAATAATGGTAGTAAAAAACACCCAGTTTAGGGAAAATATCCTTTACACAAACTGACACCAATGAATGTAAAGTATTTGTAATGGTTTGCACACCACTGGACTCCATTTTCTGCGTGTAAACTCGGCCCAGGGTTTCGGTTTTTCCTGCAGCTGTGCGGCGGCATACGGCTGCATCTTCAGGACAGCCTGGCAGCCCACCACGGATACCCTGACACAGGTTGATGAAATACCTGAAGCCACAGAAACAAAGATGCCAAATTTTAAAGAGCGAGGAATGATAGGACCACAGCATGCGTTTAGAAATTCCTTTTAGAAAGGGCTAATGCATCTTATATGAGGCATATGCATTGCTAAATATAAATAGATCTAATAAATAGTGAAAAGTTGGAAAAGCATCAAAAGTGTGTGCAGAACGACTGCAGAGCTCCAGAATCGAACTGTGGATTTACTGCCTTCGATTAAGGATTCAAAACCACACTTACGAATCTCCTTTGTAGCTGAACTTCCACGGCTCAGTGAGGGAGGAAAGTGCTCGGAGGTCAAAGGTCTTGTGCTGGCTGACGAGCTTACACTCCATCTTCCTTGGGGTACAAACTGCATTGGTGCGCCACTGGAAAGTGACTGTACAACCTGCTGTCTCTGAGAGCAGCTCTGGAGAACCACTTCCTACAGAATGGTCGCATGTAAACAATATGGAGGACTGACGCTGAGCCGAGCCTGGGAGAGAGAGAGGGAAATAAAAAGAAAAACAAAAGATTTTCAGTTTTGGAAGTGAAGACAACACAGCATTAGGATAAGTATGTTAAACTATCAGGAAGGAGTTAATGCCTTTATTTAGACAGAAGAAGAAGACAACGAGAAACCCACCCCCATCCTAAGTTGCCCAAAAATGAGCATTTACAGCTTGATAAAAAAAAAAAACTGTTTTGTTTTCCTCATTCATAACAGGTGTAAGGACTGAGACTTTAGTTTTACCTCTCTCAAACATATTGAGTCTTAAAGTTATGCAATACTAGAATAAGACCTCACCTCACTACCCCTTTATAATAAACTGCTTGAGGTGTGTTGTAAAAGGTAGCAACAGCTGGCAGCTCTCCTTTGGCCTCACCTCCAATAATTTCGAGTTTAAACAGGTATCATCAAAGAGGCCACATCCATCTTTTATATACAGTTCTTAGTTTTGTATTTTTTCCCACGTCAACATGAAGCCACAATTGATTATAAGTAATTTCTCTAAAAGTAAACAAACTAAATCTGACTACTAAAACACATAAAAATTTTTTTGCCATGCATGAAGAACAGTTTAATCTTTTCAAAAGTGCATCTAAGCACTGCTCTAATCAGAAATATTGTACCTATACAAAATTTATCATTACTTTCCTTCATATGTGTTGCACTGCTGACACAACACAAGATTAGCTATTCTATAAAACTTTCATCTGTGCTTTGGACCACTGATAGTGAAAACTGCAGTTAGAAGTTAAAATAAAAAATACCAACGTTAAAGTTCATATTTTATAATAGCCATCATATTTTTTTTGTGTTCTTATTTTCTTATTACCCAGCTTTCGTGTTGCCATGTCCCAGCTTATGTCTAAAAGAAACAAACCTCTCACATCAACTCCTCAAAATACTCTACTCAAGCTGTCACCTGCACTGCAGAATCCCCACTTCCTATCGTGTCATAGTTGGAAGTGGTGGCACACCACAACCTGCCGGTTGTCAAACCATCTTTGGTGCTTTCTGTGTAAGTCTTCTTCATGAGAATGAATGGAAACACACAGACACCTCACCCTCCGTGGTCACTGCATATAAATGCATAAACCTCTTAAACTGCTTTTCAAAAATTTGACTAATATTTATAATAGATTGAGAGCTTCATCCTAATAAGGCCTGATTAGTAGAATAATTAATTAGTTTTACACCATTTGATACATTACGAGGTTATCCAGGGTAGTTTTACTTTTCACCTTAAGCAATTAAACTGTCCTTTAATTTGAGATAACACCATTTTGGATTTTAGTGTGTGTGTGTTTTTTAAACATATTGCAGTAATGCAGAAGACACACAATAACCAGTTTCTCAAAAATCTTAACACAATTTTATTAATGGATGTGACATTTGCATATTCTCCTCATTACCTTTTTGTTATTTTATTTTCATTGTGTTTTTAATTTTTGTTTTCAGTTTAGTAGCGCTGTGTCATATCATACCATCTACAATTACATTGGTATAAATTTTTATGTGACCCCCCCAAAAAGTGTAATCTTGATATCAATGATATGATGATGTAATGCATTTCCATTCAAGTGCACACAACAATGACACAAACCTCTGCAAGTCAGCCTCTGATTGATGATTTAGTAAAAGGAAGCCACTTGGTTTGGCTACAACAAAGCCCAATACTTTACACAATATGCATGAAAGCTGCTGTAGGTAGTTTGGCATCAGTGAGGGTAGCTGGATGGATGGACAAAATGCCCTTCATTTTTTCCATTTGTGGCAGCCAATGCTAGCTGGGATAGGCGGACAGTCTATCACATGGTTAAACAGAAAACCATTTGCACTGACATTCACACGGATGGGCAGTTTAGAATTATTACCCCACTAACTGAATGTTGTTGGACTGTGGAAGGAAGCTGGAGTACCCGCAGAGAACACATGCAAACACGGGGAGAACATGCAGGGGAAACTTCCTTAATTTTGTTTCCTCTGATAAATGCTGCTATTTGCAAGCTGCGGTGACCAATAAAAATGCTGTTCAGTCATTTTTCTTAAATAAATACTAATATCATTATTGCACATTTGTATGACATATTGTGTATAGTTTGAGGCTGTGAACAATAAAACGTCATTTTCTTTCAGTTTTTTTCTTTTGAAGCATTTTTCCCACTAACATCATACCTTGTTTTTGAGCTAGTTATAAGAGCTTTACTAATTACAGAAGACTTTACCTGGTGCGCAGGGATCTCCTCCACCATACTGCATCAGCACAGCCTGCTCTTCGTGTTTGAAGTCCATTGTCATGGCTTTACTGATGCCAAATGATGACGCCAACTTGTCTGAACCAGAAACGTGGCACACTGCACTCTGCTTACAGGCCGGTTCTTTCATTGAGCCGCAGACTTTGATGTAATACATACCCGAGTTCCCTTTTACCTAGACATACACACAGAGCTCTGACCTTCCTATGCTTCTAAACAAAAACTATTTCTGTTACAGTGAAACTTTTGAATCAAATAGACTTCCTCTGGTTAGAAAGTGTTCAGTATATCATCAGCTCACCTGGACTTCCTTGGGGAGCTTGGTCAGGTCAAATGTAAACTGGAGCTGAGAGTCAGTAAGCTGGCAGCCGCTGATGTTAGTGGCATCTGAACAGACTATCGGGGTTGCCCACTCAAAGAAATAGACGCAGCCCTGCAGCCTCAGCATTTGCGGAGAGCCCTGTTCAGAGATATAAAGTAGTTAAAAAATAACCAGGGTAAAGAGAACAGGCAACAAGTAAATACTCTTATTATATAGCTCTGCTGACCAGCTCCAGGCCTCTCCGGCAGGTAAAGACAATGGTTGAAGTGTAGTTCTGTAGAGGGTCCAAAGCACACTTTGTTGAGCTGTTGTAGGTGATGGATACCTCCCTTGTTAATTTGTTGAGCTCTGGACCACGGGTGGTGCGACCAATTTCCTTCAAGAGACAATAATGAAAATGATACATTTTTATTTTATTAACATTAAGTCTATGTGATGTCACTGCCTTGGTAAGGCAGATCAAAGCACTTAAACCTTTTTTTTAAAAAATAGTGTAAAGGACAGCATTTGTCAAAGAACTCACCACAGGTGGTCTGTCATATGGATCCATGCAGATAGCGGCTCCAGGTGGGCAGTTGACCCCAGGGATGGGGTTTAGAGGCTGGCAGATGTTGACGTAGAAGACTTGGTTATCCGGGTCAATGTCGTCGTCTATTCTCAAAAGAGGAACATGCAGACTGTTAAGGACTGACACAGTGCATATTGTTGTACAGGGACTCGTCATTTTAACTCAAAATGATGCAACTCTGCTATATCTATAGGTGTGAGAGGTGAACCTGTGTCTCACTGACCTGCTGCTGTGTAGTATCCGCTGACATGAATCAGAGGAGTCAGGTCTATGAGAGCAGAGCCGTTCTGGACTGAACAAGTTACCTTTTTATTAAAGGAATAGCAGAAAAGAAAAATCACTTTTTAGAGCACAAAACTATACTGTAAGTCATGAGCCATCAAACAATTACAACTTTAGAGTCCAGGAGTTCAACCGTGTTTATTTGTTTTCCTTTCTTTTAGAGACTACACAAAAGCTTCAGGGACTTCTGCTTATCATTGGACATTCCCCTCTCCTTTGATGACCCCTAAGAAGCTGACTTCAGGTGACCTGTCCGCCTCTGTTAACTTAGGGTGTGCTCTTTCCTAATATGGCACATAATTTCCCAAAGAGAAGCAAACTTGTTTTCCAACTGAACTGCAGTATGTCAAAACAGCTTTTCAACATAAAGGTAGCACTACAACAACAGGCTGTATTGACTGTATGCAGTCTTTCTGTCTAAACAATTTTCTCCCTCTGTCCAGTGAACAGTAAGCAGCTGGCTATATCACAGCAAACACAAACACGCTTTAATCATTTATGATTTTTTATCAGCTGTGGGGCTGTAGCTCAGGCCGTAGAGCAGGTCATCTACTAATCTGAAGGTTGGGGTCTGCATGTGTGCAGGTAGTGACACCAAGGTTCACTCTGTTGCATCCACTGATGTGCTAATTGTTAGCTAGAAAGCACTTAAGGTGCTTGTATGAATGGGTGAATGAGACAAGCGCTTTGAGTACTCATGGGAGCTGGAGTAGTTTTTATACAGCACTTTTCTACTTAATTTACTACAAGGGAAAACACTAACTTTATTTATTTATTTTTAAATCTTATTGCAAAAGTACATTCCTTTTCCACCTGTGATGGACTGGTGAGTCTTCTCTCACACAAACATACTTACAGGCTGCTCACAAACCAACGGTGTGTGGAAGGCGAAGAAGTGCGTGCACGTTTCAGTGTTTGAGCCAATCAGCACTGGCTCTGAGGGGGCTGAGCTCATGCTAGCTGGCCTGCACAAACACAAAACATTCAAAGCAAGGCTCATTTATTCTTAATAAATATATTAAAATCACCAAGGTTGCATTAAAAAGGCGTTTAACAAATCTTTAAATACTTGTAGTGAGTTTATTCTTATTTAAAAGATGAAGCACTACTTCATCAATAAAGCTCTCACACTCTAGTTTTTCCATCACTACCAGATTCTGAAATAAAGGATTAATTCAAGTTAGTTTTACATTTAGGAAAATTGGAGGAAACAAATGACACACAGTATCACGATGTATACAGGTATGAATTTTCTCTTAAGGGGCACTTTAAATCTCAGTTTGCTATTCCTGAACAACGCAGGTTTGAAAAAATGTGATTCCTGAGAATGCTCTATGCTTGATGTAGTTATAGATGAAAATTAAGATGCAAATGGAGGAAAATGTACCTGCAGATGAAGCTGATGACGGTGCTGTGGGTGAGGCTACTGTTCGCAGGGCATGGACTTCCTTCTTCATAGGTGAGCTCCAGAACATGGTCCTTGTATGAGAGCTTATTGCTCACCTTACCACCACTGACCACATCACTGCCTTCCTTAATGCACACAGCTATAACACATATTCATGGAGATCATTCAGAAAGCTTTAAATGTAAAACACAAAAATATAAATATTCCATAGATCTGTTCTACCAGCTGGAAATCTGCTGAACGCTCAAAGTTTTTTTTGGAAATATTTATATTTCTTAGCGAGTGAGTGATCAAATTCAGCTCAGACTCTGGGATTCATTTTTATTGTTACTTTTCAATTAATAGTATTTTTTTTCAGGACTGCAAATATATCCCATTGTTGAGCATTCGAACCATGACCTTACTGCACTTGTATTGCCACATATTATTCTCCCCCACTGTGTATCTGATGCTGATTAAACATTTCTTAGCATAGCCATCATCAGTTACAAATCCAGACCATTTTTAACGCTCTGGTAAGCGAGCGGTCAATAATTTGAGAGAACCTGGAAATCCAAGTGTCTGTTTGGGTTCCTAAACTTTCTGAGTATCTAAGCAAGACTAAACGGTAACCAGATGAAAGTTGAAGGAAGCAATCTCTCCTAACTACAGAGGCGCTTTGTTTTCTTTATAAAGTAACTGACTGGTTAAAAGCAGAAGTGATTGTCCGAAAGTGACTCCTGTATACACTCTGATTCAATGATGACATAACAGAGACCTCTGATCGTCTCACTGACTGAAGAGAAATGATCTGCTAGACTTCCATCGACATGATTGCACAACAGAGTCAAATTTATCTGTGTCAAATTGTGTAATATTCAACTGAGAGATGCCCTAGACCAGAGAAATATGTGAAGCAGCATACCAAATAAAAGCTACCACCACTGCTGATTTTTCACAATTCATAGAATTAAAATAATCCAAGTATACTTCTCACCTTGGTAGATCTTTCATTTTTTGTAAAGAGAAATTAGTAATATAAACCAGAAATGTGGTGCGGCTAAATTAACAACTCGCCGATTGCAGTGACGTACCAGTGTCAGGGCTGCAACCAGTGTTGGCCACAGATCCACAGATGTTCATGCGGAACACCATCTTCTGGTCCTTATGATGGTGCACAGTGTAACCCTCATCCTTCTTCAAGGGGTTCAGGTCAAATAAATGACCTATGGAAGATGTCATGGTTTAGCACTGCGGCTATTTAGAGATAGATATTTAACTTGTGCACATCTTTACACACTCTTAAGAGAATACCAGAGATCAGCAGACATAAAGAGGAATAAAAAGGGAAAGCAGATGCTTTTTGAGAAATTAAATTTAAATGCATATTACCATAACATTCTCCTTTTATTACTCCAGCAGGTATATCAAAATAAACAAAGATGATATGAGGAGAAAGTGTGTGTTTCTGACCTGTAGCAGGGTTGGTGACTCTGCAGTTGTCGTGCTGGACACTATTTAGAGGGCAGGCAGAAGCTGTTTTCCACATGAAGGTGTACACACAGTCTTCAATGTCAGAGATCAGAGTAGGCCGAGAGTTCTATGTGAGGCATATAAATACATCTTTTTTATTATTTTTTTAATATTTTAAAATAACTCAAATTTGGACCCTACGGTGGAAAAGCAGTGAGCCTCTTCTACATGGATCCTACATTCCCACTCATGTGTGGTTTAGAAAGCCATTTGATGCTCAACAAACTGTTTACTGCATGTTTTACAGCCTGACTGCCATCAAACATTTTAGCTGACCATCTTTTGAGTCCAGTTCTTACCACTTTGTTTTTGTCACACTGGAAGCGGATGATACTGGTCCTGTTGCGGCTTCCATCTGGACAAGCCTGGCCGCTGGTGTACTGCAGCATTAGGACATTTCCGTCCCACGTAGGACCAGAATGGACCTGACCCAGACTCAAATATTTATCTCCAACCTTCAGGCATGACGCTGCAGTGGAGGGACACTTCCATGGGTCTGTAGCAAGGAGAAGGATTTTCAGTGGATTTCAAGACATAGAAATTTAGGCCAGAATTATATTTAAACTCTAAACCAGAGCTAGATGTAATGACAATACTGTATCCTTTACACCAACCTTTCTGCTTCACCAGCGACCTACAGACGTTAATGTAATACTGTTTATTCGTGTCCCCAGTGGGAAGTTCCGCCTCCCAGTTCCCAGAGTCCATAGCCAGAGGTGAGAGGTCGTACGAGTGACCATGATCATCACTGACAAGAGAAAAGGAAAAAAGGAGAAAATTCTGAACTGTGGTCCTTTCTGTAAATGATAATTAAATTCTACTAAGTTATACAAACTACATACACTATAAGAAAAAAATAAGTCTGTGTGTTGGAGTCAAATTGTTAAATGTTGTCATTGTGTTACTTAAATTTGTAAGTCTTAGTTCAAACTGTAGGATCAAAGACGTTCCTTTGTCACCTCTCCAGCCAGTTTGTTGCTGGGGGAGGCTGAAGTGTTTTATTGTAGGGATCTATGTGAGAGTTCTGTTTGTTGCTTAGTAAACTTCCTGCTTTTATGATCCTTTTGGTGAGCAGGAGGTCACAAACACGCACCCCCAAACACAAACACACACATGTGCACACACATAGTGCCTTATCTTTTAGAACCAATGGGGGGGTTTACAATGAGAGGTGCTTGTGTGTACTGTAGCTGTTTTCAATAAAAGGCGGCAAGCAGTTTGATTCAGAGTGCTTTTCTGAGACACCGACCGGGGCCTCCCTTGCGCAAGTAAAACCAGTTAAAGATGTTTGTCTTGTTTCCTTGCTTGTCTTTAACGAGAATAAGTTTGTAAACCAGCGGGGCTTGTGGAAGCGCAGACCCAACACCATGCAAATGACACCTTATATAAAAATAAAACCATATGTATATATATAAAAATTGGAAGAGAATAATGACACAAGGACAATTTACTTGTAAGAGCAGCTGGTGGTCTTGACTGGGACACAAGCCAGTGCAGTGGGCCAGTTGAACAAATAGGTGCAGTCTGGAGTCTCCCTAATATACTCCGGTTCTCCCTGAAAAAAAGTGAAGTAGCATTAGACACAATTGCTTAAGAGCTTAGAAGACCTCTGTGTGTCATGAAAAATAACGGCCCAACATTGTGTGTAAAAAAAAAAAAAAAAAAAACAAACAAAAAAAACTGAATCAGAGAGATGTTAATTATTATTTTTTTGTATACATCTTGTTTATATTTTTTATCTATTCAGAGATCAATTCTGCAACTAACAGTGATGTGTGCAGAAGGCAGGCCCTGAAACACAGTGGTCATTTATGTGGAGACAAACCACAGGATGATTCTTTCAAACACAAATCTCCAAGTGCAAAACTGTCACTCAGTCAACAGTCAGTCTTACAGGTATCTGATCTGTTGCTCTCTGTTAACAACCCATTCAAAGCTACATAGGAGGAGCAGATTTTCTGTGTGTTAAACTTACAGGATTCCTGTCAGGGTTGCAGGAGAAGTAGATATTGGTAGACCTCTCATAAACTTTATGGCAGATCTCTCCACTGGTGTAGTTCAGGATGATCTGGTCTCCAACATAAGTTAGCACCTGGTTTGCCATTCCTGTGTTCACATGAGTGAAAATTCAAAAACATGAGTACTGTAAAAATGACATAGATTAAACATTACACTGTATAAGAAAGTGTCTTTTCATACCTGCGATCTTGTGTTTTCCTCCGGCAACTTGGCAGGAGGAGACAGTTTCACCTTCTGTGTTTTTGTGGGTGCAAACATCTCTTTTGAGTCCGCCGCAGATTGAAAGATAGTAAGTGTACTGTGCAGCATTTAGGGAGTAATCTCTACCCTTCAGAGAGCTCAGATCAAATTCATAGCCACTCTTAGGGTCACGAACTCGACAGTCAGCACCTATGAGGGAAAGTTCGGACAATTTATTGTCCATTTCCATGGTGGATCAAATGCTAAAATGTACAGATTTTGTCTCTATGTTTAACCTTAAGGAACATTTTCTGTCCACTGTCACAGACGTTTTTACCTTGTGACTTCCTGATAGGGCAGGCCTCGGACGTCCGCCAGATGAAGACATATTCACAACCATCTATACGGTCAAACATGGGAGAGCCCTTGAAGTAAATACAAATGGACACAAATAATCAAAATTTAGATTAAAAGAAATTGCTACAGGTCGAGTTGAACATGCAACATTTAAAAGAAAAAAATGAATTTTTATTTGTGATTTGCCTAAAACAGACCAGACCAGAAAAAGCTACAAAAGGTATTCAGAGATTAATTCGGTACACATCTCAAACAAATAAAATGAAGGTATGCCTCTATCATGAAATCCATTTGCAAATACCTCAAGGGGAACTTATTTTATGTATTTTTGGTAACAAAGTGACCATAAAATGTAGCTTTCAGTTAGTGAGTTAAAGTCTAACAGTGCTACTAAAGAAAGCACTAAAATAAACAGTACAAGTTTTCTCACTTAGCCTCTATCGCAGTAAGAAACTAGAAAACAAACATCACATTTTTCCTACCAAATCTGATCCACACAACTAAAACATTTATATTATAATAATATCAAATAGTCATCTTGTGAACATTATGACTGGGTTAGTTCAAGAGTCTAAAAACACTCACCGGGTTTTCATCACACTGAAAGATGATGCGAGTTGAGTACTGGGACGAAGACCCGCATTTGTCTCCATTCTGGTACACCACGCTGATGGAGCCATCTTCTGCTGCCTGTGGGCTGGACTGGATGTATCCCAGGTTGTATCCTTTGCCATCAATGACAACGCAGGATCCCAAAAAGCCCACTGCAGACAATACAAAATGTTATACTCTAACTATTTGCCTGCATTTTTCCAGTAATATCCCGTACCATCCTTACAGTCTAGCATTTACGAAAATGCCTTTCCAAAAAACAAAACAATAAACAAAAAAAAGTCATTCATATTTTTATTTAGCTTTGATGACAACATGCATTTGCTGTGAGATCATTTTTATAAACATCACAACATTTATTTACATCCAGAGCTGAATTAAATGTTAAGAACTTGTATTGATGATGGAAGAGTCAGACAGCTGCATAAAGTTTTCTTTCATTTGTGGAAAAACTTGGTCATGGACTTTGTAAGTAGAAGAGCTCTCTGAATGTTAAACATAGCTGTGATTTCAAATGTTGATTTCTATTAATTATTTGGTTTTTTTATTGGACCAGTTCAGTTCCTCAAAGATTCCATTTCCCCACTTTGGTTACAGATTTTCATAAATGGATTGCACAGTTTCTAAACCAGTTTCTGTAGTTTCATATTCTTAGTTATTTTCTTTGCTTGATGCAGGCCAATAATTTGACCCTTGTGAAACGGAGTAATATCTCTTCTACGCCCACAGAAAGGCAACGTGGTTGTTTACAAAGAGAGAAGCTACTCACTGCATCAGTTAGGGTTCATTAACCCGCTCCACCCAAAGCAATATTAATCACCAATCTCCAATGGAAGACTCTTCTTATTCTCTGCTCTGCTTATTTACACCAAGTAAATGAAGTCTATCAAAAAACATATGTCAGACTTAACTGGGTGTATTTTATAACAATAAATTGTAAATGAAGGCAAATCAGTTAACCAGCAACCTGCACAATTTAAATGTGGTATCAGACTAGGTTAACAGTTCATCTGCATATTTTAATACAACTTCTGGAGGCTTACTGCAGATTTTTCGCTGTTTAAAACAAATGGCTGTGGAAGGAGCAGATACAAAGTTTGCTTGTCTTCTTCACATTGGAGTTTGCTGATCAGGGGCTTTGGTAAAAGTAAAAGTTTAAATGGTGGTCACAAGAACAGCTGCTTTTTTGGGCGCTAGAAACATGTGTTCTTTAACTCTACCTGCGCTCATCTTCTCAGCACTGGCTGAGTCTCTTTGCTCTTTGCATTGTGTAAACAGACTCTGGCTTCACATTAAACTGTGCCAACTTCATAGTCTCCGCTGCTGTTGTTGGTGTTTCTGTTTAAAACAGCCCCTGTGTGGGCTTAATGTTCTCAGAATTTTTATTCATTAGCTGCTCTAAACATGTTTGCATTGCACGTCTGCTTTAGTCGCAAATGTGGGTGAAACGCTCACGTTGGCGTTTCCATGGTGAAAATGGCGAGCTACGGAGCCGTGCCTCAAACAAAGAGTCGAAGCAAAGACTTCGTATCGAGAATTTTTTATAAACAAATTATTCAAAATAATCAATGAATAGTTGCAGCCCTAGTTGTGTCAAATCCTCGTCAACGTCAAATCCTCTAATGTCTATCTAAACCTATTAATTTCTCACCTGGACACTCATCTACACGTGGGAGGGGTTTGCAGACGTTGATATAAAACCTCCTTGATGTGCCGGAATCTGTGTTTATGGGATTCCACGGGTAGTCATCTTCATCCCGGATCAGGTGACTCAGGTCATACTCATTACCATGTAAATCTAGAAGTGAAAAAAATAAATCAGATTTATTCATTAATAAATGAAGACATGTTCAAATTAGTAAACTTTTTTTTTTAATCTAACAAATTTTTAAAAAAAATAGTGACACCTGAAAAAAAGAAGCCATGATAATTAATTTATTTGTGTGTGTGTGTCCAAACCTGTGATCCTGCAGTCAACTGGAGCAGGCATGCAGGCCAAAGCGGTGGAGAACTCAAAGAGGACGTCATGGACCACATGGTTAGGTGAAGTACTCATGTCCTCTCGCACCAGTTTTAAGGATCCAGGGTAAGACTTTGGATCACACACAAAATTAATCCGGAAGGTGTCCCGAGTTGCTGATGAAAAAGCAAAAAAAAAAAAAATGGAGGAAAGTCACAAAAAGTGCACCACTGTAAAGTAAAAGTAGCATCAGTATTTTTGTTTATAACAATCGTGTTGTTTGATCAAAATACAAATGAATGGACACTTGGCCATGTCCATCATCAGATCTCACTGTGTGACACATTTCAAGATCCAGCGTGAACTGCTTTATTTTGTACATTTTCTATTGTGCTTTTGCTACCTGTTGGAACGTCAACAGGTCCCTTGTATGTTAGTTGGAGGATGCCGTCAGTTGAATACTGGAGGGTCTTCTCCACCCCCACAGGGCTGATGGGGTGCTCGTTCTCCAGCTCACAGCCGGCCATTCCCTGACCACATTCAGCTACATCTGAGCAGATGTTTACCTGCAGGTAGGTGGGATACCACTTTGAGTTCGTGTGCAGTTTCCTTTACGCGATATTTCATACCATATAATAAGTAAACATCTTAATGACAAAGTCTGTGAAAACACAGTCGAATGATGTAGTCCAGCATCACACATCCAATTCAAAAACTAAAAAGAATACAAAACAAAAACAACATCAGGTAAAACAGCAGTAAAAAGACAATATTTTGGATCATTTTAGTCACTTGCCTGCCAAAGATTATAAATGTTGGTATTTAAGTTTTATAGTTTTAATATGTTTTTTTTGTTTGTTTTTTTATATTTGATTAATAGGTTACATTTTTATTTAAAATGTTAAATTCAATTTTATTTATATAGCACCAAATCATTTTATATTGTAAAGACCCTGCAATAATACAGAAAAAACCCAACAGTTAGACAACCTCTAATGAGTAAGCACTTTGGCGACAGAGGGGAAGAAAACGTCCCTTTCAACAGGAAGAAACCTCTGCAGAGGTTAAAAAATTAAAAGAAGAAGAAAAAAGTGCTAGTTACACCCAAATCCCTTTCTAATAAATGTCAGCTGCACTGGCGTGATCTTTGGATGGTCTCAGAAAAAAACAACAACAAAAAAAAAAACAAGCACAATGAGATTTACGACCATTACTACAATGCTATGTTAACAGTTTGGTGTCAAGTTAAATGATGTGCAATCATTTTAAAGCTGAAATTGTTGTTTCATCAGTCTGCATTCATAAGGTTTATCCGTTAATATAATTCATTACCCTTTTTAGTAGCATTTAAAAGAAAAACATTGTTTCATACTTTCACATTTTTTTAAAAATAAACTAAACGAGGACAATCAACATTTTTCATCTTATTCTGAAGTTTCATGAACTACAATCAGAAAGCTTCATCTGCCATGTTTTAGTGCTACGTAATGCGCTATATAGCTCTAATGTGAATTTGAATTACAAATTAAATTTCCACTTACTACTTAAGGCAACTGTCATAAAGCATTCGTTACCCTACACGGTTGGCAATTAAATTCCCTCCTCACAATGCTTTATTTGATTAGAATTTAATACAACCATTTGAAAAATATCACTTGAAATGCAAAAATGCAATGTTTTCCATAGCACTGCGACACTTCCATGCAACACTTGAGAGCTATAATTTGCAGAAATTATGTACGCTGGCAGAATATTGTTGAAGTGTCTTACCAGGAATTTCTTGCCATTCCCACTTGTATTGTATCCAGTCTTGGAAGCCAAAGGCATTAGGTTGTACTCAAAGCCAGTGTTGGGGTCCACCACAGCACATGTCTGATACGCCAAAAAAAACCCCAAAACCCCACGCAGATTACAACCATTTTGTTAAGTTTACCACAGTGTATAAATTACAATTAAGGCAAATTAAGAATTAAGATCCATGCAAGTACACTTACATTGTTTGTGATGGTTCTGATGGCACAGGCTGCATTGGTCTCCCACATAAAGGTGGCAGTGCAGTTCTGGTACATCAGGAATCGCGGTCCCTTAACCTGGATAGTGTGGAGCGTAAACATTGTTACACTCAAACCACCACCGTAGACAGCCAGCAAAACTGCATTTACTCACGAGAGTCCCTCTGGAGCAGACCAGGTGAATGCGCGTTGTATACGAGAGTTTCTGACCGTCCGAATCACAGGCAGAGCCATCTGTGAACTCCAGCATAAGGCGGTCCCGTGCTTCGATGATCGGCCCTCGCTTTGAAATGCCCATGTTACTGACTGACACCACCTCCTCTACAGAGCCCTGAGGAGAGGCAGGAGGGAACAGGTAAATAATTCAGTATCAGTCACCACTTACACTCTGCAGTTACTTTGAAATTCTTATTCAAATGTTCACCCTGAGCATGTTATTATAAAATGGGTGGAAGCAATATTAAAAAATAAAAAAAGAGCAGCAACAACAAAGAAAAATCATTTGCTGAATGACTTTGTTTACAAAAATATAGCAAATCATATTTTGGGTCACTTTCATAGGTGGGATTCTGGGTCCAGATCTTTCCATCTCTAAAGGCACACTAGACTAATCAATAAATATTAACATATTAAAAATAGTGTAGCAAAATAAGTATTATCGTTTCTGTCAACTGTAATATAAATTATATGATGGAAAAAGAGGAAATGGTAAAACTGAGCGCTCTTTTGAATTTGTTGTTGCCAGCTCTGTTGTCAGAGTTGACTGTAACTGTCAATTACACATGTAGGGATGGTAGTTAGAGACAAAGCCAGACAAATTTAAAGTTCAAATCAGTCCACTCTGCAAACTGCTTCTTGGTTGAATTCCTTTAACCAGTGGTAAAGTCATACCTCTCACTGTTCTCTTTGCAAATACGGATAGTTCTTTTTTCATGAGCAATACATTAGTAAATCTGGCCCATAGTGGTATAGTCACAATTCTCTAAAACCAGCAAGAAAAATTAACACAATCAGTCATAAACCCTGAAGTGGATTTGCAACAAGGCCCCCTTTCAAGTCAGTTTCACAGTCCTTCTGGTCAGGCTATACAGTGGGGCAAAAAAGTATTTAGTCAGCCACCGATTGTGCAAGTTCCCCCACTTAAAATGATGACAGAGGTCAGTAATTTGCACCATGAAGACTAAAACCCTTATATGATAAATATAC